CTTCTTTGAAATAAATATTTAGGCAGATAAGTCTGTCAACTGTCAAAGAGAGCTCATCCCATGAACTTTATCCAGGTTACTCATTTCCTTTGTATTAAGAATAAAGAAAAATTCCAGTGTCTATTCTTCCAATTAAATGATCAAGAACAAGGATTAATTAACACAAATACTGGTTCTGCAAGGACTTTCAAGGTTGTATCTCTGAAACAAAATGTTCCAAGTCCATTTGTTGTTGTTAGTTGCAAAGTCGTGTCTGACCCATCGCGACCCCATGGACAACGTTCCTCCAGGCCTTCATGTCCTCTACCATCTTCTGGAGTCCATTTAAGCTCCCGCCTACTGCTTCAGTGACTCCATCCAGCCACCTCATTCTCTGTCGTCCCCTTCTTCTATTGTCCTCAATTTTCCCAGCATTAGGCTCTTCTCCAATGAGTCCTTCCTTCCCAATAGGTAGCCAAAGTATTTGAGTTTCAACTTCACTGATTAAACAGACAAGCTAAATAATTCTATCTTAGAATCTGAAAAGCTTATATTTCAGCCTTTAAAATGTGGATGACCAACAGAGTTAAATTTTAATTAAATTAGTTAAATTAAATTGAATTTTTATTTAATTTAGCTCAGTTAAGGTTCTTTTTCTCACTAGAAGTTGTACTTTGATTTTTAAAGAAAGTTCATTCTCCATGGGATGCAGGAAGCATATGGGTAGTCCTCAGCTTATGAACAACTGGGCCTGTTGCTAATTGAGACATTTGTTAAGTGAGTTTTGCCCCATTTTACAACTTTTCTTGCCACAGTTGTTAAGTGAATCATTGCAATTGTTAAGTTAGTAACCTAGTTGATAAGTGAGTCTGGCTTCCTCATTGACTTTGCTTGTCAGAAAGTCGCAAAAAGTGGTCACATGACTCTGGGACACTGCAACGGTCATAAATATGAACCAGCTACTAAGCATCTGAATTTTGATCACACGACTATGATGATGCTACAATGGTTGTGTGAAAAACAGTCATAGCTCAGTATTTTTAGTGCCGTTGTAACTTTGGTCACTAAATGAACTGATATAAGTTGAGGACTACCTATATATAGTGATAAGTGATGAAAATGATGAAATCTTTTTTTTATTTTTGCCAAAAATTATGCTGCTCAATATGATGTTTTGCCACTAAATTTTAGCATGCAGTTTAGAAGCTGAAAAAAACATGACCCAAGGATCTGCTTGCCTCCCATTTAACTTAAATCAATTTCAACTTTAATTGGACTCAATTTTCTTCAGTGGATGCAATTTTCCTTTGAAGAGGGAATAAAAACTATATCAATAACTTTTAAAAACTAAATTATTTCTGATATTAATAGAGAATAAAAGTGATTATTGAAATAAATACTCCAACACAATATTGTTAGTGTTATTTTCTCTAAGTTCTATTTGCATTCCAAAAACAGCCTATTACAATGCAGGTGATCAACTAAATATTACTGGATCTCTTGATAGCCCTGGATTACATCCAAATTAAGTCATACTTTAGTCTTTCAGAAATGAATAGGTCTTAGTCATTGCTAGCTTACTCCATAAACATCTATGAAACTAAAGCATGACTTACTTTGGATCCAACTCAATATTCTTTATTATAGTTGTAAAAATCCATCAATAAAGCCTTCAAATCAGGAGCCAAACACAACATTTGGATAATAGAAAATGTAATTTTTAACACAAATCTAATCCTAGCCAATATTCTTCCAAACTATGAATGCTCATGATACAGCTGTATCCTACCTCTTGCCTGAGTTTTGTGGCAAGTTATTAAGAATGTATTTTTCTCCAGAAGGAATCACAGTTCAGAAGCTTGAATGTTCCCAGTCAGCATAGGATAAATTCAAGGACAAGAAAATGGAACCTGGGATGCTCAACAATATTTCTTTATACTATGGATTGATTGAACTTTATTCAATGTGTATGGCTGCCTATCTCAAACAAGTGACTCTGTTTGAATAGACAATTGGCAACTGAGATTTAAAAAAAATAAAAAATAACAATTAGTGTAAAGAATAATTAAAATGGCTAATAAAACCGCACCTATTCCTGAAATTGATATTGGGCTGTGCATATTGGTGTCACAGGTTGAAGAAGAGTGAACAAATTACTCAAGGGACTCCTTATGTATTGCCAGTATTTATTTTGAGCCCATCCTATTTACATCCAGTAAGGTGGATGTCAGCTGTGCTGCATATTTGAGCTGCACGGAAAATAAGTGCAAATGAAAGGGCATAGTTCTTTGTTGTTCAATAAGTTGCATGAATGGAAATGTGCTTCCCCAGTATTCTCTACATCTTATTATTTTAGTTCTTAGACCTACTGTACACAGATTGCAAAAATTTAATATGATCTTCTTAATCAGGGGTCTTCAAACTTGGCTCTTTTATGACTTGTGGACTTCAACTCCCAGAATTCTTCAGCCAGGCACGCAAGTTGAAGTCCACAAGTCATAAAATGGCCAAGTTTGAAGACCCCTGTTTTTGATGGTAGTCAAAAGTGTTTTCCAAATCCTTTTGCTACTATCTAATGGTCATCTGGATTTTTGCAATCCAGATCTGATATACCTGCTTTCTAGTTTTCATTTTCTTGTAGCTTTGCTCACTAAAAATGTTGGATGCTATCTAAGAGGAAGATGACTTGGAGTCTGACTACAGTACAGGATTCAGTCCTCAACATTTAATGCCAAAATAACAAAGCAGAAGGCAAAGAAGTACTCATGTGATCAAAATAGACATAGTCTAATTGTTAAGGCCCCAGAGATTGTGAGTCTTAGTCCTGTTTTAGGCATGAAAGGTTAGATGACTTTGGGTCAATCACACTTTGGGTCAGTCACACTTTCTCAGTCCAACACAGCTCTTGGGGTTGTTGTTGTGGGGAATATTGGAAGAGGAAGAAGTATTAGATATGTTTGTCACCTTGAGTTAGTTATAAAAAGAATAAAGGTGTGATTTAAAAAAATCTAAAAAATAAAATCACTAATCTGTGCTGATAAAGTTTGTGTTGCATTTTTTCCATACATGAGCTCATTCACTGTTTCTCTGTGATATTTTTGAACTTCAATTTATTTTCTATGCCAGTTGATTGGGAAGAAAATTAACTGATGGGCTATTTTTCTTACAAACAAAAGAAAGGATTTTTTAAAAAAAATGTTTTGTGAAGAAGTATTCAACTTGCTGCCCCTCTCTGCATTTTAAAGTACAATTTAGGAAGCTTTTAAAGTTTGTTTTTCTCTGTAAAAAGAATAATTATTTTAGTGTTCTGAAAGCTAATCCACTTAAAGAGAAAAATGGATATGGAAATTTTAAGTCAGATGGTGAATAGTATGTTATTTGAGATGAGGAATGAATGTTGAAGCATGCCTTTATCTATTTTGTTACAAAGAATTGAGTGATATACGTATACAGAGAAAATATGAAAGTAATTTGAATGCAATGGGAGTTGTTGATGGAATGGAGGCATCAATGTGTAGCCTTTAGCCTAGAGATTCTAGTTGGCATAGAGTAATATGAGAACACTTGGAGTGAAACTAAACTTTGTACTTATAGCATACTGGCTGAAATTGACTAGTCTTATCCTTATTATTAGTACACAAGATTGCACGTGGCACAGCTATAACTAAGGCTGGCAGTGTGGTCTACATCTTCTGTAACTAACTAACAAGCATAATGTAAAAGCCTCATGTGGGCAAAGCAGTGATGGACACTAGAGGTAAACATCCATGGGCCTTTCTGACGATAATCATGATACAAGGAATAGTTTGACGTGAAATGTAAATCATAAAAAATATGAATTAACTAATGAAAGTAAAGACATAAAATACATTATGTTCCTTTGAAACTAAGAAAAGGGAAGGATATAATCTGAACAAAATTGGGTAAACTAATGGAGAAATTTTTAAGATGTGCAAATGTTTTAAAAAATAGTGGTGACTGAATCATTCCAATATGACAAAAGAAATGTTGCACAGAATATACTTCTGTGTATGTTGTTATATGAGAGTTGAGCGTGTATATAAAAGAAGTTGAAAGCAGTAAGGAATGAAGTATTGCACTTAGGCATTATATAGTAAAACAAGAAGAGGCAGTATCAAGGAAGGTGCAGACTGAATATAAATGTGAATGAGCATCATGAAAGAATTATACCAGATTTAGTCTTATAGCATGACTGAATGAGGATGAACCAGAACATGAATATATGAAAGAAGAGTGAATGAATTGAGGGAAACAGGAATACCAAGAAAGTTCCAATTAATTCCAACTGATGAGATATAAAAAAAGAAAGAGACAAGGAGGTAATGTGCGAAGCAGCTTATCGATCTGGTGAAAGAAAGGATGAGTTGTAAGAATAGAAAAATATGGAGTGGTATAGTATTGGGCTAAACTAGTTTTAGCTGTTTCCTTTTTCTTCTGCCTTTGTCTTACTGGTTTTTTTTTTTACTTTTTTTCCATGGTCTGCATAACATTCCTATCCCAAAGGTAAACAGTACAATAGTTATGTGCGCTTTATGTTTGTGTGTGGCAAATTCTTCAACCTCTAATGTGGTAAATAAAATGACTAACATTTCTTAATTAACATTACAAATTTAAAGTGATTGTATTTACATTTTATTTATTCATTCTGTAATTGAATATTTGCTTTTCATCAAAGTTTTAAACTGGAGCTGAGAGATCTAATTCATTTTTTCCCTTTATAATTAAAATTACTCAGTAATTTAGAACCAGTTAGTATCTCTCTGCTTAATGTACCTTTTTATACCTTTTTAATGTATACTTTGATACATTAAAATATACACTGCTGGATGCCACTTTGAATTCCTGGAAATAATATGGAATATTTCAATTTTTTTAATGTTTTTGATATTATTGTATACTTTCGTTTGTTCTCTAATCCATGTGCAGGTCTTTCTATCTTGTAATGCTGAGCATGTATCTTTCCATGGCTCTTTGCGCCACTCTTAGCTTTTATATCGATTATGAGGTTAGTGTCCATGTTTCTCCGGCATATGTTAGAGCAGGTAGCACACACTGATCGAAAACATTTCTCTTCAGACATAGTGAGAGGTTGTTCTTGAAAATTAGCTTGCCAAATTGAAATGGAAATGGACTGGTCACATAGCAAGAAGAACTGATGGCAAGTGGACCAAGGGAGTCATAAAATGGATCCCACTTGATAAAAAGCATCCACAAAAGGGACCTAAAACAAGATGGATCAACAACATCAAATGTAGTTTCAGAATGACTATATCATAAACGAATCTCAAGAAATATGAAATTAACTTTCAATGACTGTAGGCAGTCCCCAACTCACTACCGCAACTGAATTAAGCAAATCATGCAGTCATTAAGTGAATTTGGCTTCCCCTGCATTGATTTTGCTTGTTGGTTACAAATGGTGGTCACATGACCTCAGGACAATGCAACTGTTATAAATACACGCCAGTTGATAACTGCCAGAATTTTGATCACATGCTGCAATCGTCACAAGTGTGAAAAACAGTTATAAGTCACTTTTTTCAGTGCTGTTGTAACTTTGAATGGTCACTAAATGAATGGTTGTAAGTACAGAAGTATCTGCATAATGTATTTAATTGCATAATTCAATCAGAATAGAGCTGGAAGGAACCTTGGAGGTCCTCTAGTCCAACCCCTGAAGAAGGTGACCCTATATCATATACCATAACATTTCTCACATAATGCATGAGTCCAACAGGACTAAAAATATTCTGTCACTGAGTTTCATTTGTGCATCAGCCAGCCTTGATGGATTCCAATTGTCCTGATATTTTTCCATTATGGCAATGCCCTAATGAAATGAACTGTGTTCATTACAGCATTTAGACTTTGGAGAAACAGATCCAAGTGTGAATACAGAAAATGAATCTTCAGTGACATGTTGCATTTCATGGCCTTGTTGTAAACAGTTTGTCAACCAGCTGAATATATTTAGTGCTCTGTAATTGCCCCCCAGAAAATCTCAAGAACATCCTTGAATGTTTTCCAGGTGATTTTCTCTGGCCCCACTAACAGATCTTCAGACCACTTATTATTGATGAGGTATCTGATCTGTGGACCAACAAAAATGTTTTCCTTAATCTTGGCATCACTTTGAAACCTCTGTCTCAACAAAAACCCACACCTTCCCCATTCATTGCTTTCCCAAAATGTTTCATCAATCTTGAGTTTTATGTGAAGCAGAGGCAAAAACATCTTTGCCGAGTCAACAAGTGGTTCATGTGCAACATTTTTCTGTCCTGAAACGGTGGCCATTTCTTTTTAATGTAATGGGACTCTCTTGCACAGCTGTCCCATTTGCATATGGAAAATTAGTATTTGGTATATCTCAACTGCATTCTGAGCAGATCCATTACTTTTAGATTTCCACAGATATACCAGTTGTATTTGGTGTACTGGATGTGCTTCAACAACAGCTCCATATTTTCATGTTTCTTTCATGTGTGCAGCATAGCCAATGTAACTTTACAATACAGTAACATCAGCTAATCTGGTTGTGATTCCTGCCTGATTAACTTAATGAGGGTGACAAAAATGCAGTTATTTAATTTATATGGCACCCATCTCCTTGATAAAAAAAAAACTCTGGGCAGTTTACAGATCATAAAAAGGTAAATAGAAAAGCAATTAAAATTTTAAAACTATGCAAATTAAAAGTATTACCTGTGAATTATATTACAAGTTATTACTTATCAATCCATCTGCAAATGTCTAAATATTTATTAGTCTGGAGATCCAGTTGCTCCTACTCTTTGATATTTAGAAATTTATAGACATTTGGGTTAATAGTTGATAGGGCATGGTAAAAGAATTCAAATAGTAAATCATTATTGGATTAAAATTTTGGAACAAAATTTAATTTAAATAAACTTTATCTGTGTAGGCACAAATTATGCTTATAATCATGCTTTAAATGTTGGGAGATGGAGTATAACTGAGTGGTGCTAATTACGGGAGATGGAGTATAACTGAGTGGTGCTAATTACACAATTATTTAGAGGTTCACGTTTAGGATGGAACAATATTGTATAATTCCCAACCTGCTCTTTATTCGTTATTGTACTTTTAAAATACACTTCAGTGTTCTTTTAAACTTTGAGGGCGGTAGGCATGCGAGATTCCAATGTTAGTGAACGACAACTTCTAGCAACCCAAGGTGGGGAAGGGGTGGGATGGGTTTCCCTACCTGTTAATCCCCGTACCCCCCCCCCCACATTTTATATAAACACCCCTAATCAACTGTTTGCTCTGACGAAACAATAACGAATAAAGAGCAGCGACCAGCCCTTCGCTAACTTTTCTGAACGCAGATGAAAGGAGGCTGTTCCTGGCAAAGGAGCGTCTCTCGCACGCTTCAGCCAGGAAAGATGCAACTACCTCCTTTCCCACTAGAAACCGACGCCCTAGACAGGGGTAGGCAACCTTGGCTCTTTTATGACTGGTGGACTTCAATTCCCAGAATTCCTGAGCCAGTCATAAAAGAGCCAAGGTTGCCTACCCCTGCGAAGTTCCCGCTCACGACGAAGGAAAGATAGAGCCCCAACACGCCTCCCGCCCTTCCGCTTCCCACGGGAAGGTGGGTAACCAGACAGGCTTTAATCATAGAAGTGTCGACGTCCAGAAAGGCCCTATAGGACTTCCTTTAAAAAAGCAAACGAAATCACTCGGTAGACTTCCGGTGTGTGCGAGGAGGACCGCAGTTGCGCCAAAGAGACTTGAACGGTGGTTTGTAATGCTTCTTCCCTAGGGCCGGGCGAGCTTCTCTCTCTCTCTCTCTCTCTCTCTCTGCGCCTTCTTCGCTTGAGGGGCGGAGGCGATCTAGCTAAAAGAGGTCCGAGTGGGTAGTCTTTGGGTGGATCGCGCACTTTTGATCTCTCTCTCTCTCTCTCTCTCTCTCTCTCTCTCTCTCTCTCTCTCTCTCTCTCTCTCT